ACATGCCTGTGTGCGTATTAGCGCCCTCCTGTGGCTGTCTGTGTACATGCCTGTGTGCGTATTGGCGCCCTCCTGTGGCTGTCTGTGTACATGCCTGTGTGCGTATTGGCGCCCTCCTGTGGCTGTCTGTGTACATGCCTGTGTGTGCCTTGCTATTCATTGCCCATCCCATCATATCCCCTCATAGAGGCTGACTTATGAAGGGAAAGCCAGACTGCTTGGACCAAACAATCCTGCAGCTGTCATTAACTATGACGAGGTACCGGAATGTTCCCCCGACAGCGATGGCCTTGCTCACCTCACAATGGGCACAGCGTGTATTTTCACTGCTCAGGATTTGCTTAAAATGCTTCAGCTTCAATGCGTCACTGACTTTATTTATATCCTGCATGGATTCACACGGTTGAAATCTCGCTCACGTGCACGCACACACCTCACTCTAAGCAGGAAATGCACAGTGACCCAAGGCTCTCTCAGGCCTGGTCGTAGCCTCTGGACTGACCGAGTACACAGGTCTGATCTGATGTTACTAGGTGCAGGGACTTCCTGTTGGAAGGACTTCCTGTTGGGGAGACTTCCTGCTTGAGGGACTTCCTGTTGGGGAGACTTCCTGCTTGAGGGACTTCCTGTTGGGGAGACTTCCTGCTTGAGGGACTTCCTGTTGGGGAGACTTCCTGTTTGAGGGACTTCCTGTTGGGGAGATTTCCTGTTGTTAACTGTGCACTACCCCGAGCCTCAGAACTATAAAGCTGAAAGTTGAGTGAAGCCGCACATGTGACTCAGTGGGGTAGGACTCGTGATCGGAAGGTCGCCGGTTCAAATCCCAGGGATGCCAGAGTGATTTCACCATCGGGCCCTTGGGCAAGGCCCTTAACCCTCCCCCCATCGCCCCAGGGTTTAGCTGACCCTGCGTTCTCCATTCTACATCGCTTTGGATAAAAGCGTCTGAACATGTGTTACATGAGAGCTGTACCATCACACCGACAGCTTTTCCTGATTTAGAAACGGCAGAGTGATTTTGATGGCAGTATGGAATCAAACACTGACCCGAGTATTAACGCTACTAAACGTAGCTAGGCTGTATGATGATGATGATTTGTGTATGATAATAATAGATACTCTGCACGTGAGAATGTAGGCTGGCGGTCGGTCAGCACTGGAGATGTTTGCCATGAGGACATTAACCAAGCGTTTCTACAGCATGTCAGACAAAAGGTTAAGAAACGCACAGAAATGAAGGGACTCCGTGCTGCATTGTGATTACGATGATCGTGGTAAAGCATGGATTTTAAATACAGCAATGAGAAGCAGTGTTTGCAGGATGTTACTCACTGTACAGGAGATCAGGGTCGCCAGATCACTGAAGGTTAAGTGGAGTTTCACCAAGACTGAACACAAACTAACATCACAATCCTTATGCCTTGAAAGATTAATACATTTCAGCCTGACTTTGAGCTAGAAATATCAATCTCTATTAATTAAGAGATGTCTACAATGTAGGATAATATGCTTTGTCTAATATCAGAGATGTGATTCTTTGTATATTTTGTGTGAAACAACCACAAGTTACTTAATGAATGATTGTCCTCAAACTGGAAAGGGGCCCTACAGTACTGTTTCTTCCTGATTTCACATCATCATCATCATGTTCTCCCTTTATGAGAAGAGCACAGTGAATGCATGAACAGCTGTCATCACCAGGGGGCAGCAGAGTGCTAGGATGCAATCACATCCCTGCTACCTGAATCATATATTTATTGTGTTCCTCTGGCTTGTGGGTTGTCACATAGCAAAGCTGTATTGTCATTATTGTTTTAAAATGCAAATACCTAGATTTTAGCACGTGAGCAGTATCACTTGCTTGTGTGGATAACACAAAATCAGTTATGGTAATGGGTTCCCAGTGTTTTCGAAGCCGGTGGTTTGACTTGCTTTATCGTGCTTTTTCAGGTGAGTTATGGGTTAAGAAGCCAGTCAATAAATCCACTCCTGGCATATGCTTTGTCTGTAGTTTCCCCCAGTGCACTGGGTACTGCCTTCCAGTGGAAACACCCCTCTCTTCTGTTCCTGAAGCACACCATGTTTATGCCTATTCTTGTCTGAACCTGTGGTGCTGTGGTCCTGGGACTGAGGAATCCAAAGAGCTTCTTTGGCATGATCTGCCTTGATTTGTCATTCCCTTTCCTACACACGAGCTCTCCCTTTAAAGTTGACAGGCATCGCTGGGCTCTGACCCCCCTTGAGGCAGTGGGGGTGTGTGTAGGGCTGTCGTACCAAAGCTCCATGCTCTGTCTGGGTCTCCTCCTTTCTGTGTGCAGCATGTTTCTCTTAGTGTTCATCCAGGGACCAAAAACATGTTGCCCAGGTTAATTGGTGTCTCTGAATTGCTCCTGGTGTGCATAGAAGTGTGATTAGATTAGATTAGATTAGATTAGACTCAACTTTATTGTCATTGTGCTGAGTACAGGTATAGAACCAATGAAATACAAATACAAATAGAAAAAACGAATAGAAAAAAACAATACATTACAAATAAATTATAGATGGATTATGAATATAATTGTACATTATGGTTCTGTGCAAAATATGCATGAGGTAGCTTGTGCCGTAAGGTGCAGACAGGATGTACAGTGTGCGTGATTGTGTGAGGAAATGTGACAAGATGCAGTGATACAAGTCTAAACTGCAGATGTACAGTGTACAAAATGATCAGTAAGTGCAAACAAATGAGCAGTACAAACAAAATCAGTGTTCAGTCTAGGTCTCTGTAATGTATGGGTGGATAGTTGGAGCACTTCGAAGTCCGAATGGCACCATACTGAAATGGTACAGATAGTTTGGAGCACAGCTAACAACACAAAATAACTACAGTTTGCCTTATTTTCCTCATTTGTGTACAATATTATGCATAATATCCATAGTGTATGTTACGAATATATTTTCCCACAGCTTTCATATGAGTTAAGAGGTTGTGTCTTTCACAGGAGTACAAGGTATCCAACTTTGAACAGAGGCTCATGAGTGAGATCGAGTTCCGGCTAGAGCGAACGCCCGTCGAAGAGTCTGATGACGAGGTCCATCACGACGAGATCCCCACAGGCAAGTGCATTGCCCCCATATTCGACAAGAAGCTGAAGAACTTCCGGGCTATGGAGGGCGTCCCGGTGGCGTTCACCTGCAAAGTCGTGGGGATCCCCATTCCGAAGGTGACGTGCTGTGTCCTGCCCAATAGGGACAAATTGCTGTTGCTCTGCTTGCCTTGGTGAAACTCACAAGTGAAAACCTTCTTCAGGTCTATTGGTTTAAGGATGGAAAACAGATATTAAAGAAAAATGAACACTATAAGAGAGTGAGAGAGGGCGATGGCACCTGTTCGTTGCAAATTGAGGCTGTCACCAGTGATGACGATGGCAACTACACAGTTATGGCTGCTAACCCCCAGGTATTTGACACTTTCTTGCAGGGATGGGCAGGTTGGGTGGATTTCTGTGTTTGATCTGTTCTTTGGGGCTCTGCTCTATTCTACAGGGGAGGAGCAGTTGTTCTGGTCACCTGATTGTTCAGACTGGTCCAGTCCGGCGTCGACTCACACCGATGATTCATACTCAAAGGTATGAAATGGAGAAGCACATTCTTTGTTTGGTCTGTAAATTAAAAGCTGACCAACGTTTGATACTGTATACTTTAGTAGTAAAACAGAGTTTATGTAGCAAATCCTCTACCTCAGTGATGCTCATACTGTGGTACAGGCACAGCAGTGGTACTCAGTCATTTGTTACTGTGATTCAGGTCACTGTGATATTTCTTTCACTCATGTGGTATTTGGCTGCTTGGGTTTGATCCAGAGTGGTACCCGATCCAAAAAGTTTGAGAACCACTTCTGTACCTTATTCCCATGGCATCTTTGTAGAGTTAATTCCCGATCACAAGAAGTCGAGGAAGGTGAGCCCATACAAGAGAGGTTTTTTCAGCCTCACTTCCTGCAAGTCCCTGGCGACATGATGGCTCATGAAGGGAAACTCTGCAGGCTGGATTGCAAGGTATTTCAGATAAGTCCTCAGGGGAAGGTTGTCTTGATATTGTTTCCATCGCTGAAGATGCTTCTTAGTCTTAGATGTAAATGCTCCTCTAAATAAAACTTCTTGCAGAAGTTACCTTGGTAGATTCTGGAGTGCTCACTCCACACCGTATTTAGGATTGGAACCCAGCTTCCTTCAAGGACTTCATCTTGATAGACTTCATAAAAATGAAAGAGGACTAATCTGGCCGCTTGTGGAGGTTTGTGTTGACGGTCATGGCTTCTGCTCAGGTGAGTGGGTTACCAAACCCAGAGCTGATATGGCTTCGCAATGGGCGACCGATGGTGCCAGATCTGAGGCACAGGATGCTAGTTCGGGAGAACGGGGTCCATTCACTGCTCATCGACCCGCTGACGAAGGGCGACGCCGGCACCTTCACCTGCATTGCCACCAACAAGGCAGGACAGAATTCCTTCTCTCTGGAATTAACCGTTATGGGTAAGGCTTATCAAATCTGAGGGCATTTTAGTAGAATACTGTGGTGTTTCCCAAGCTGGTCCAGGGACCCCCGCCTCAGTCCCCATTTTTGCAGCCTCGCAGCTCAGAGCACACCGGTACCAGGTATTCAGTGTTCTTGATTGTTTGATTATTCAGTTCAGGTGCGCTGGGAGGGGGGGGGGGGGGTCCCATGGACTGGGCTGGGAAACACTGGAATACAGTGTCATGTGTAGAATCGATGGATGAAGGACACCATGACTGATGCAAAATGTAACAATAAGGATGCAATTCAAAGATATAAGGAGGTTTGTGTGATCTTATTTTAGAGAAGGAAGTGAGGAAGGTCCCCATGTTCTTGGAGAGGTTCCAGAACATCGGCATTGCTGAGGGGATGCCGGTCAGACTGGAGTGCAGGGTGGCGGGCATGCCCCCCCCCGTCATTTACTGGAAGAAGGATAACGAAAGCATCCCCCCTAACAGGGAGAGGATGAGGTAAGAGCTGCTTCTACAGGAGGTTAGAGGAGACACACGTCGGCTGCTGCTATTTCTGATATTTCAGGACAGAATAACCATTTTCAGAGCAGAAAGAGGATTTGGCTGCAGCAAAGAGAGGAACCTGCTGCCACATAACAAATGTGGCTTCAGCCTGTTTTTAAAGCAGAGCCACATTTCCAGCATGATGCTGCGCACAGGAGGCCTGGTGAAGGTGCAGCCTTGGCAGGGAATCACCAGGGCGGAAGTGTGAAGTGGAAAAGGGCTTCATATGATTCCTAAAACATGTTTGCTTTTCGTTTGTCACCGTCGTCTCACTCTGTTGCTTTTCGTAGCAGATGTACAGCGACCTCTGGGCTCTCTGCTCTCTGTGCTCGCAAACTGCAGCTCTGCCATTTAGAGGGACCAGCGCCAGTCTGTTCACTTTAGGTTTTAACTCCATAACTAGGGATGCACAAACGCAGCATCTTATCGTAACGGTGCAAATGCATACTTATTTTATGAGTAAAATAAGTTAAAATTTCAGTGCATTATAACCTTTATATGCTAATGCTTACTGCACTCATGGTATAAAGGTTAAAATGCATGGTAATTATGACAAGCATTTGCAGATTGTGTCACTTTATTTGGCAAATGCACACTTGTGTACCAGTCATGTGTATCCCTGACTATAAGCATCCTATAAACCCTGCAAGTTAATTTCAGATACACACTTAGAAACTGGAAAAACATGGTGAATCACTTTGTCCAGTTTTACCTAGACTATGACCTAGACTCTCTATGAGACTTTAAAATGGTGGATACAGTGTGATCCTGTTGCAGTCTTCACTGGCACTGCATCGAGACACTGACTTTGTGAGACTTTCATCCTCCAGTGTGATCCTGTGGCATTCTTCACTGGCACTGCATCGAGGCACTGACTTTGTGAGACTTTCATCCTCCAGTGTGATCCTGTGGCATTCTTCACTGCCTCTGACAGGATTTTAACTGGCATTTTCTCAGACGACTTCAGTGACACAGTTATAGACTTACATCCTTACCTCAGGCCTCTCTTTCTGGTTTGCGCCATCTTGGTCATTTATTTACTTCAACTTTTGTCTTTTTTTTTTTTTTTTTAGTTTTTCTGTAATTTTTTTCCACACATTTTTGAGAACATTGCTTATATACAAACTCTAATTGAAGACGTTTATCTTTTGATCCCAGCATGCACCAGGATGCCACAGGATATGTTTGCCTGCTGATTCAGCCAACCAGGAAAGAGGATGCTGGTTGGTACACGGTATCAGCTAAAAATGAAGCAGGGATAGGCTCGTGCACAGCCAGGCTAGACATATATGGTAAGATATCAGATGCAGAGAGGATAGCAGTATTCATCATTTAATGTCTTTGCAAATGTACTCCCAGTGTTGGAGATAGGAATAATGATTCAAGATTAAAAACTGTTACATTCAGTCACTGGAGCTGTGTGATTATATAACATAGTCGTAACCAAAAATAACTTCAATATCAGGATCTTCAAGTATGTTTTTTACAAGCACTGAAAAACAAATTGTGTTGAAAATGATAAAGGTCCCTAGCGAGTCTCTCCGCCTCGTTCCTGAACATCCTCTGGGACTTCCGTCAATCATAAACATCGTCATGACAACCACCTAGCTGTGTGGTCTAAATTGAACGGTGGTAATGGAAGCAGATATCGGCACAGAGTTTTATTGAAATCTGTAGCTGCACTAAAATACTGCATTTCACGTGGAGCATCGCAAGAGTCAAACCTGCTCTTCATGCATTTGCTGTTTTCAACACAATTTATTTTCACTCTTGCAGTTATTCGAAACATTACATCAAGCTCTAGGATTATTGAGATCAGGTCTTAAGCGTAGGGCGCCAGGGAGCTCCAGGGAGCTCCTCTTCTTTCCCTCTTGCTGTGTGGAGTGTGACCTTTCCCTGGTCTGCTACTAGGATACTAAGTGAGGACTCTTCATACTTCATGTTTCCTGGTAGTAAAGTGCCCCCCCCCCAGCCCCACCTTACCATATTAAACACCTTCAGGCCCCTTTTCTGCCCCCCCACCCTTCTGTTAAATCACTGTAGCTCCCTTGCATGGCAAAGGAACCTGCCTGCAGACAGGCAGACGCAGACGTACACGCGCATGCATGCCCACCCACCCAGCAGCGGCACTGTCTTAACAGCCCTCTCTACGAGGGGCGGCTAACACCTTCCGGAACTTTCCGCAGGGATGCCGGGTGCGGGAAAGGCTCTAATCTCACTGTCTCAGCCTCTTCTTCAGCTCCATAACTGCAGCCCTGGTTCTGGCCGCTGCTCGTCCTAAAGGCTTTGTCTTGTCAGACTGCCCTGACCTCTCATCCCCTCCCCCTGCTTCTCTAACGTCTCCTGAAGACCCCCGTCTCCCCCCCCCCCCCCCCCCCCCCCCCCCCCCCCCCCCCCCCCCCCCCCCCCCCCCCCTTTCCTTCCCCCTCCCTGAAAGCCCCCCGTCTCTGCCCCCCCCCCCGGTGCTGACGCCCTCCACTTCCCTCTGTGTCCCTGTCTCCCTTCTGCAGCCCAGTGGCACCAGCAGATCCCGCCCCCCATGAGGAAAGCCCGCCCCCCGAGTAGCCGCTACGCCGCCCTGGTTGGCCAGGGCCTTGACGTCATGTCCGCCTTCCCCAACGCAGACAACAGCCCCATCCTGTTCTCCAGCTCGCCCGTGGAAGCGGCCCTGGAGAGTGAGGAGCTGTAGAAGGCCAGACAGCAGGAGGTCCCTGTAATCTGCAGCTCCTCTGACCCCCCCTCAATCCAATCTGCCCCCCCCCATCCTGGCCTACATCTTGGTAAAAGCATATGCAGCATCATTGCCAGAAGGGCTGTGTGTTAAATATTTTGTTGTTGTTTCTTCCACTCTCTCCTACCCTGGGACCCTGAGTTATTAATCATCAGTAGCTGAGCCGAATCTGCACCTTTCTGACTGAAGAAGCATTTAATGTTCACAGTGGGGCACATTTTTCAGATCAAATGAAATCTTTACATACATCAAATGGTGCACATTTCGCTCTTGATAAATCAGGCCCAGGGTTCAACAAGTGAAATGGTTCCCTGTTCATTCTCTGTCCACTTTCTCTGATTTTGTGGCTATAATGGTTTTTATCTTGCTTTTACAGCTTAAGTTCTTTACAAGATTTTTGTTTTGTCTAGTTAACGGTAGAAATGTGTCCTAACAGTTACTGATAGCAGCAAGCAAAGTACACAAAACTCTAGCTATATTAATCTTATCTGTGAGATTAGGCTTGCCACTCAAAATGCTGCAAACATCATTAAATCTATTTTATTTACGGAGTGGATTAAAAATCATGTGAAGGTGTTACCATATTAAAATATTAAAAGATTAAGTCAATTATACTTAGAATACTGACCCAGTTTTACTTAGAATACTGATTCAGTTACACTTAGAATATTGACTCAAGTATACTTAAAATACTGACTCGGTTTTATTAGAATATTGACTCACTTGGAATATTGACTCAGTTATACTCAGAATACTGACTCAGTTATACTCAGAATACTGACTCAGTTATACTCAGAATA